GTGATTTTGAGTAAATCACTTCTTATGTGTCTTACTTTCCTCATCTGTGAAACATAGGTAATTATAGTGATTATACCTAAAAGGATGAGTGATATCTCAAGCCCCTTCCAGTCTTAAAATTGGACTAAAGGAAAAATTCCAAATAAAGGAGTATTGACATTTAGCCCTGAAGGACAAAGGAGATTTAAAAAAGGTGAGGAAAGACTTTCCAGAAAAAGAATTAAAAATACACATTCACGCATTAATGAAGAAACCAAGTTTATTGCAGCAATAGGTTTGTTTGAAGACATAGTGGAACGTAAGGGTCTGGAGGTCTTGTTGAGAAGGGTCTTGAAGCTGGTATGGCAGAGACTGATCACCAGCCCCCAGGAACCATTCTCTTCCTTTTCTCTCTAACTAGAGAACGCATATACTTTAGGCTGGGCCCAGGGCCGCTCAGCTAGAGACTACATCCCCCAGCCTCTCTTGCAGTATGGAAATCTAATTCGTGCCAAATGGATAGATTATATGTAACAGATGCAAATTCATGTCTCCTTCTTACAGACAAAGCTGACTATCCTTGACTTGTTCTCTCCCATCCCACTCTTGCTGTGAAACCATGACAACTACGGCAACTTTGGAAGTTATTTATTAAAGAGATGATAAAGCCAATTCTCCAAATACGGGCTGTTTACATCTGTATTGCTATGTGAAATGTAATCATACAGTGCGTAACCTTTTTGGTAGTGGCTTTTTCATTCATCATAAGTCCCTGAAGATCCATTCAAGTCATGTGTATCAATAGTTCATCCATTTTTATTGCTCAGTAGTGTTCCAGGATATGGTTATATAATAGTTAGTTTATTGATCAGTAGTACTCCAGGGTATGGTTATATAATAATTCACAATGGAAAGCATCTGGGTTGTTTCCAGTTTTTGTTTATTATTAATAAAAGTGAGATGAAGAATACCATCTTTTATGTGGATATAGGTTTTGATTTTGTGTGACAAATGTCCAAGTATGTAATTCCTGGACTATACGATAAGTGTGTGCTTAGTTTTTTTTTATTTTTTAAGAAAAAGTCAAACTGTTTTCCATGGTAGTTATACCATTTTATATTCCCACCAACAATGTATAAGCAATCTAGTTTCTTCACTAGCATTGGGTATTATCAATCACTATTTTTATTTTAATCATTCTTATAGGTGTGTAGTAATGTCTCATTGTGGTTTTAATTTATATTTCCCAAATGGCTAATGATCTTGAACATCTATTTATGTACTTATTTGCTATGTGTATATCCTCTTTGGTAAAATGTCTATATATATTGGTGTTTTTATTTTATTGTTTTACTATTTAGACTTTACATTTTAGATTTGACTTTAAAAACATGGCCCATAAAGAGAAAAGATAAATTGGATCTCATTAAGATGTAAAATGTTTGCTCTTCAAAAGATCCTGTTAACAGGATAAAAGATAAACTACAGACTGGAAAAAATATTTGCAAACTGCATATCTAACAGTAGCTAGTCCTAGTCGTAGCTCCTGAAGATTTTCCCCTGTTTTTTATTAAACATTTTACAGTTTTACATTGTACACTTAAGTCTGACCCATTCTGAGTTAATTTTTGAAAATACCTCTTTTGATACCTCCTGCAATGTCTGTGGATGTAACTTTCATTATTTAATTTAGATGCAGAATGGGAAAGACTGAGCTGGGAGTGGGTGAATTAGATTCTCCTAATACTCAAAGATGACGTATCTTTTCTCAGAGGGACATCACAGGCTGGAAAGTACAAACCATAACATAGGCAGAAAGAGTTCCTAGTATAGAGAATATCTAGCTTTCTTTCTAGGAAATAGTAAGTAATAAAGTATCATGAAGTAATTAAGGGAAAAAGGGACTTTATATGCATACAATATTCATGTTTTTTCTTCTTCAAATTCATTCATCTACTTGTCAGTTGTACTATTTTAAAAAGCTAACATTAGAGCTTAGATGGATTTTTTTCATAGTCAATGACTGAAAATCTGAAGGAGGGGGATTAGAGGAAACAAAATGGGGACTCAGTAAGTTCATTAAATAAAATTGGAGGCAGAACTATCATTGTGCTAGGTTCACCTTATCATTGACTATAGTGCACACACATACACATACACACACACACAATTAGGGACTTCATTTACTAACAATTGTATGGAGAGTAAAACCAGTCGTTTATATATCAGAGGACGAACTGAAATATTCTCTTGCAATTAGAAAGCAGTTACTAGGGCTTTCTATAATTGAATTTTACCTGTAATATCATACACAGTTGAAGAAATATATATTTTCTTCAAACTGGAGCATTTGATCCTTAGAGCATTTTAGAAGCTTTCCGCAGAGTAAAGTCACGAGACACATTCAGTAGGCCAAGGAAATGAAATATCCAGTCACAAACAGGCCACTATCCATTTTTCAGGTTACATTTTCCTTTTAGGTTAAATAATCTCAATTCCTTTTGATGTCCTTCAATTATATTATTTTAATAAAATTACTATTTGAATTATGCATATTTCCATGTTTCCTTTGATACCTATAGATATCAAGTAAAGACTTGATCTGCAAAAGACAGATATGTTATGACCCTTAATGATAGCTTCTTAAGTATAAAACCCAGAAGCCATTCATCTGATATTTCATAAGAAAAATACTAGGATAAGAGGCACTTGTATATAAATCACCTATTTTGATATATTATGTAGTAAAATGGCTGATGTGTTCTCTTAGCAAACCCACTGGCTTGCTTATATTAATTTTGTGGTCCAAGATGACAGTACTCATTCGTTAGTCATTTTAAACCAGCAGTTTATTGTCTATTTTCTTGTCAGTAGTTTTTGCTCTCTGGATAAAATACATTATACTAATCCACAAAAATTTAGCAAAGGATAATATAGCTGAATGTCCCCATTTTAGAGATAAAAAAGTCAAGATCCAGATTTAATGTTGTATTTCAATCATTACAAGACACACATAATTTTTACACATAGTAACATCTCTAAAACCAGTGTGTTTTCTACAATTAATAGCATCTTACAATGGCTCTTACCTAGGTGGCGATCATGATGCAATTGCCTGATAGGCATGAACTTGGTTGCTGTTGGACAACTGTATAAACTTGGTAGCCTTACTGGACAATGGTAACTTCATATTTCAGTTAATGAACTACTTAAGGGTTATTTAAGTAAAGGGTAACTCCTGACTATGGTCTGAAAACTTGTGTTAATACCCTCTAGTGAAAATGTGTAGAGTACCAGCAGTAAAACTCATATAACAGGTGTTTATGGCTTAGGAAGCAAACCTGGAGTTCATAGTAGAGCGTTCATTTTAAGAAAAGTTGGTACAGAGGGTAATAATATTTGGACAAACATGTACATGTACTATTCTTAGTCAAAAATTGATTCAGAACAATTGACCCTGACTCTTTGATATTTTTTTTTATACTCTAACATAGATATGTGAAAAATCTATGTCTAAGTAAATCTGAAAGAGCTCCACTAATAAGCATAAAATAAAAATTCTAAATGATAAGGAAACATTGTGTCGTAGTTTGACAAACTTTCTTAGTGCCACACGCTTTCTTCTAAACACTTATGAATATAAGCAGTTCTGATTCATTCTTATTTCTTCAGCTGTTTTCCTTTAAGCCAAGTTATTATCCATTCATACTCTGAAGTAAAAAAACAGAAGGCTCCAGGTTTGATGAAGAAATCTAATCTTTATTTCTATGATGTTAGCACAATATACTCACACAATAGCTTTGATCTGTACTTAACAAAATACATTATAGCACTTTACAAACTTTATTGGTTTGGAAAACATTGCATAACATTTTATTAAACACAATACTTTATATATATATATATTATATATTTTTTCATAATTTTATTTACTTTAAAAAGATAATTAACTCTCTTTATTCAATACTTGGTTTTATCAGTAAAGCATAGCCTAACACAGGAAGAAGTATTCTCATTAGCAAATACGATAAATAGAACACTAAGAAGAGATACCACCTGTTCGTCTCATTTATTTTAAATTAAGGTACCAGTGGAATGTAAACAAATATTTTTGTAATTTTTTTATAAAAGATGTGTTATCAAATATACATGCAGAGGTCTGAGATCTAGCGACTATCATTAAATTTCCTTAACAATGTGGTACAATTTAAGTCATTAAAAACGGTAGCCTTTGGCACTTAGAGTAGAAAAAGAATATATCAATATTTATGTAAAGAAAAAAAACTTCAATGACTACAGAAGTACTTTAAAATCTTTTGTTAAGAAATAGGAAAGATTAGGAAATATCATACTGCACCTGAAATGCTGCAGCTTTTTTTTTCTTCAGAGCACTAGAACCAGTCCACCTTTCTTTCTATAAACTGGCAACACCAGTAGGAGTGTCATGATGGTGGTGGTGGTGAGAAGTGGGGAAGGCAACTCTTTACTCCCACTCCCCTCTCTGAGAAGGAAATTGCCAAAAGGGATATAGTTGAATCTATATTTTATTGCCAGAGTTTTCAATTCTGCTGGTTTCAGCTAAATCCCTAATGCTTTAGGAGGTTAATTACTTTAGACATTTTTGCCCTTTTCCTGTAGAAGTTGATAATGATGTGGCACTCTTTATCCCTAAACAACTGTTCTCACTGAAAACTGTGATCAGATCAACCAGCTTTAATGTTAACTTTTATCCCCTTGGCAATCAACTGTATATTAGAATTGTTAAGAAATGGCGTAAAAAAGGCTTACTACTCAATTCCAAGAACCACTTAAAAATAAACTTTAAGTTGGAAAAACACCACAAAATGTTTTGTTTTTATCTTCTTCTTGATAATACTTGTTTCCTTTGACATAGGTCAAAGGCTTCATTTAGGATAGGAAGCAAAAACTGATGTTTGCACATTAAGCACTGAAACTGCCCCTATTTTGGTATTTTGAAGAAATAAATTCTTAATTTACACTGGGAGATACCTTTACTTATCAATTTGCATTTTTTTTTTTTTTCAGATTCTCCTGGTTGATATCCAACTAACAAAAGTATCTTAGGGAAGAAGGTGAAACCCAACTACTGAGATCTAATTTAGTGGTTATCGAGATATCAAAAAGTTAATGATCAGAACCAAATGGAATTTTGGGGTTACTTGTTAAGATAGCAACCTAAGCCAGCTGTATAGGTAGACTTAACTAACATTGCTGGCAAAATAACCCACAAAGTCAAGTTTTGGTTCAGATTTCTTGTTTCCAAATTCACAACAGTACATTTTGCTCAAGGAGTATCAGTTGTTATTTTTGCTTTAAAAATAGGGGAACATATCTGTAACATCAAAAAAATTTATTTATTCAATAAATAAAGGAGAAGCCATAAAATGCAAAAATGATCACAATTTCAGAAGACCCTCTAAAACAATATCTTTTAAAAAATTATGCAAATGTAGTCACTAAAAACCAGATTGTTCATTAGCAGTACCTATACTTTACTAAAAAGTAAGCAGCAAAAAAACAAAAAATACTATGCAGAAAAGTACTAGTTATTCCCTTTCACTGAAAATATGCCTACACAATTTTTGTTGTTGAAGAAAGCATAATTTTGAAGAAATGCACAAAACCTTTTCATTTTTGACTGTGACAGGGCCACTACAGAGAAGCTGCGGGGTGTCTAATTCTAACACAAAGCAGCAGCATCTTCTTAATACAGTAGCATTTCTTTGACAAGGAATTGCACACCACTATTTAACAGCTAAATAGAATTTGAGAGTTTACACGGTATATGTACTACAATAATCAGCACCACCATATTGAGCTTTAGGTGCAGATTCTGCAAAATGAATATATAATACTGCATGGCCTCTGCTGTAGGGAAAACGTGTGTTCCGGATTCCCACAGCTAATTATAAAGAAAAATCTCTAAAGTTGGCACATTCAGGAAGTTAAATAGTATACATTGAAGTAAACCATTTTGTTTTAGTACTGCCCTCTGCAAACCTTTTGAGTTTGAAGATGGGTCTTAAGAAGATTCTTCACATTATCACATTAATTAGGTTCTTGCATTGTGCTTTTCCCTCCCCTTAATGTGAAATCTACAAGCTTGAGTGTAGTTCTCAAGAGTCACTGAATTTGGGGCTGATGGTGCGTAATCCAGTTTGGTGAGAAGGCTTCCCGATCTGCTGGAACAGAGCACAGGTGGAATCAACACGTGGTCTCTCGGGGGCAGCCCAAATGATCATGCCACCACTCAATCCTTGTAAGCCCGTGTGGGGGAGGTTCCCTTGTAGAAGATATTTCTAGTGTTTTCGGGGCTGTTGCTTCTTTCGGGGATTAAGATGATGTTGCCCTTCCTCCGTAGGGTTGAGTCACGGGAGGAAGAAATGGACAGTGTCTCTGAACCAATTTCGCTGCCATCTACTGGGGTGACGCGGATGGTAGTGATTCCGTGGTGGTGATGCTCATTGTTATCAATGTTGCCTCTTTTGCGATCTCCAGAACCAAAACTGTCTTTCAGGGACTCACAGCTTTCTGAGTCCCTGTTGAGATCGTTGAGCTCGTAAGTTTGGCGAAGGCTGCCTTTTTCAGGGGCTTTCCATTTCCAGGAGCCACTGCCTTCGCCTTCGGTGGACGGGATCTGTATGATGGGCCTGTTGTTCTCTGGGTGAGCTTCGACCCGGACAATCCCACTGGGTTCGTGGTCGGTCAAGGTTTTGTAGCGGATGGAGCCAGTGCAGGAGACGGTGCTGCCCTCCGTGTTCTTGGGGCTGCTTTGGAGGACGCCCTGCTGCTTGGACATGGCTATGACTTGCATGATTCGGGGCTGGCTATTGCTTCTATTGCAGGCCACCGTCTTCTCTGCAGCTTTCAACCACTTGGCCCGAGCAGAGCTGCTTTTTGGGGAGGTGCTTATGTTCTCCTGCGTCTCCTCAGGAATATGCACAAGCTGTGATGACCCAGGGCGGGACTGAATGGATACTCTAGGTCCCCCAGGGATGCTGTTGTTACACCCGGGGACAGTGCCAGGCTGGATCTTGAGGTACTGATTGCCAGGGGGATGGTGGTCTCCATTCACCCCCACCCTCGATGGCTCTGAGCTGGACCTCATTTCTATGGATCTGGGTGGTGACTGCCCAGGCTCAGTCTCTATAACTTGCAGGGATAACTTCCGACTTTCATTCTTATTCTTCCACTGGGTGAGGAGCTGCTTGGACCGAGCGGAATCCATAGAGGCATGAATGGTGGCGTTTCTTCTGACAGGGTCCTCTACGGATGGGGTATTGGCTCTAGGCAGGGTGTTGCTAAAGGTAACCATGTTCTCCTTCCCCATGGGGCTCCTTGGAGTGATGATTTCTACGTCAGCATTTGCCCTTTTAAGGTTTGTCAGTGAGCTACCATCTCTGTGGTTTCGATGGAGGATGCCTTCTGTGTGAGCAATTCCATCACTGCTGCTACCATTTTTAGCAGATAAAACTCGGCTGGGGTCTTGATTGAGGTCTGTCAGAGACCTGAGGGCTTCTCTGTGCTGAAACATACTCTCTTCACTAGGTAGAAAATTCCCCACAGCATATAGGCCCTAGTGTTGAAGAGAAACAATAAATATCACATCCTAGAAGAAATGGTTACCGAGAGTTTGTCTTAAAGGACCCACTGAAACACCCAAATAAGGCATGGGCTGTACATACACCATTGACTAATACAAATAATGAGAAGCTAAAACTACAATTCCCTGAGAAATAGTTTGTAAGTTATATCATAAATCACTGAAATTGTTCAGAAATAATGGAACCCATTATTTTATTATTAGTTGGATTTTCTCTCCTTTCCCCATCCCACTGGATGTCTTCGTGAATCTTATCCTCTGTATGTTTTGAGAAGAAAAGTCAGACAATGAGGAAAATAAGGACATTCTTCTGCTTTTCAAAGCAGTTCATTTTTCTGTATTTAGAAACCTCTTTTTTGAGTAACTCCTCAAATGGCTTAGCTGATTTATTTTACCTTCCATTTTCAATTATACCTTCTGATGGAAAGTAGAAGAGGTGTGGAAGATATGGAATCATTCATAAGACATGATATCAAGTTTTGCACTGAGGTGAGAGATACATATTGTTACAACTCACATCAAACATAGCCCTTTGTGTTCAGCACTGTACAGAGAAACTGTCACTACATTTGGGCACCCAAGTTCTTTCCTGATTTGAAACTGATTTTAAGTTGGGAAGTAATACATCATCAATTCAGTACTAGTTTACTAAATTTGAGCTGAAATTTATTTAATATTATCTTCACATGCAGGCTATCAATTTTTGTTTTAGATTTGGGGAATAAAAATTTGGAAAAGACTGAAGTTCAGATTCAGAATGTTTACCCTTTTTGCACGTAAAAGATCTAATCCTCACTGGATTTTCAGGTTCTGAGATACTTCAGAGATAAGAGCAAGCAGCAGATAGCCCTTTGCATGCTACTTTCAAGAGAGGGTAGCAACTGTCTATTTTTCAAGTCAAATCAAAATGAATCCCATGGATTTAACATTTAATAGAGGGCTTAACAATGCACAACAACATTGGCTTAGAACTGATAAATTTCCAATTTCACGGCAGAGAGTGCAAACAGGAATGGATTAAAGTCAAGCTTCTGCCTCTCCACCTACTTTAATTCCTGGTTCAAATCTTCTAAATAATATATATCTATACTCTTACTGTCAAAGTTACTAAAATAGGCATTCTATCTAATGTTCTATTAATAGTTGTATTTAAAGTTGTAAATTGAGGAAAATCCTCCACAAGACTGAAAGTAACCTCTGCCTATACTGCCCAGAACTGTGCTAAGAAATGTAGTTGCTTAATCCTTGTTATGATAGCTATTATCCTTATTTTATAGGTGAAGAAATGGGCTTCTGAGTGACTATTTAACCTGTCCAAGCATCAGGAGACTTGAGATTCAAGCCCAAATCTTTCAGACTACGGAGTCTATACTAATTCCAGGATTCCATGAAAATCACACACGTGCAAAAACAGTGCATGAACTTGAGAGCCATAGTTCTCAGTCTTCTTTATCTATTTTGTAGCACACAGTGCCAATCAACACTCTTATGGGCAAGCCAGGCTTACACACATTTCCTGGCATGCTAATTTTTATTTGATCACTTTCTCCTCCACTGAATGAAGCATGTGAGTAAGAATGAGATTTGAAGTGACTATCCTGACCATGGAAGTTCACAAAAACAAGAAAGCAATCATTGTTCACTTCAATACTTTGACTATTTCTTGTAAACATTTTCTGGTAACACCCTCCACAAGTGCAACAAGACCACATGATGAAGAGCTGATGCTATAGACAATCAATTTTAAATTCCCTGTCAGCTCTTCTCAGTTTCCTCGATTACTGTGTCTTCCTCTGCATGCTCCTTGCATTCGGTATTGCCTGGCTCTCTTTCATTCTTATGACCTGGCAGTTTTATATGTCCCCATAACTCTAATGTTGCTTCCACCAATGATGTCCATGATTTCCAATCTATTTCTCCACTACTGATTGCTTTTTTGAATTCCAGACTCAACTCTTCAACTGCCTATTGATTTTTAAATTGAGCTCATCAACCCCCTTTCCTTCCACCAACCTGCTTCCCCTATCATTTACCTGGTCTGCTAGTGGAGATGCCAACCGCCCAGTCTTCCAGTCTAGAAATGGCCATTATCCCTCATTCCTCCTGGTGCCTCACCCTTCACTTGCACTTGCTCTCACACATCTATCTTTTCATATGTGCAGGCTCCTCTGCTTGGATGCCCTTCCTCCTTTTCTTACCCTAAGAAAAAGATTTCTCATTTTTTTAAAAACACATCGTTTTGTGAAGACATCTCTAATTTTCTTAGGCAGTTTCTATTCCTAAACACTTTGTTCATACCCTGTTAAATCATTTGACATAATAACAATCTGTATTTTTATTAATCTTTATACTGTAAGCTCCTTAAATATATATCTTATTTCTCACCATTCTGATGCTCAGTATAGTACCTGGCACAGATCCAATATTGAAAAAGTGTAAAATTAATGACAATCTCAGTTTTCTTATGCTGGGGCTTTTTCTTTCAAAGGAAGATCAGACTTGAAAATAGAGTATTGCTAAAGAATTCAACATTTGTTGGATCATAGTTATATCCAAGTGCCTCATTTGTGTTGTTGTATGTTACATTATTCCCCACTAAGCCTGCCTTCCCTTTCACTAACCTTACTTTCATTAGTGTTCACTTTTCTTATTTGTAAAGTTATACCAATAATAGTAGTCCCAGCTCTTCCCATGGAAATAATTTAATAAATTACTTTACTGAAAGGGGATATGTGTTTTGGCTTGGAATGGAGGTGCAGCCAGAGATTTTCTCATAAATGTAAATTATATTACAAGTAAATCATTACAGTGCAAAATATTCTATGCATGTTTTCCATGTTAAAATGTGGTTTATCAAATAATAATAATAATAATAATAATAATAGATTGTTTACCAAGTACAGAGCAATTCCTCCTCCTATTAAAAAGCCACAATAGACATCAACTGGGTGGTTCTTATACTGAGTTATCCGTGTTAATCCGCAGATGATCCCACAGATGATAAATGTGAAGACCAAGAGAGGTTTCAGAAGCTTAGAGGAATCCGTTAAAGTGGAATTGAAATACATCTTTAAAATGAAAGAAATAGGTTAGGTATGTTGGAAAGATCATATTAGTGCTAAATTATAATCAAATAAAAAGTCAAACTCAAAAGTCTAACTGATACACTTGATGTCAATTTTACTGTCCATGCCCCTTGCTATTGTTATGATCTAAGGCTGAAAAAAGGAAATATATGGCAAAATACATTAAGAAAATAACATCTCCCTTTTGATTACATGAAAGTTTGAAAAAAAGAAAGGTAGAATTAGTAGAATTTTCCAGGTAACTATTTAATTTCCATGTTACTTCCATGTAATTTCAGTTTATTTTTATTATGTAAGGCCTAATGGACTATTGTGTTAATCAGATACAATGATGACTTATTGTATAGCACTTATCAAATTTACACGGACTTAGAATTTACTGTTACTCAAATACTGAAAGTAAAGTGTGTGTGTGCGGGGTGTGTGTGTGCACTTAATACAATTCTTTCAGCTTTAGAATTTACAACATTCACATAGTTGACAGTACCCTCCCATGAAGTATATTATGTTAAAGGGATTCCAGGCTAAATACATGTTATGACTGTATAGAAAAATTATTTCACTGTAATATTGTTTATAGCAGCTTCCAATTTCTGCTTTTGATGCAATTGTAGTGAAGGACTGCTGTGCTAAATTTACAATGGCTATATAATCTAATTAGTCACTTGGAGACAGCACTCATTGCTTTGATTTTCTGTAGGACACAGATTGATGAAAAAGACCCCATTACTTACCGAAACATACACAGCTGCAAAGGCAGCGAGGGTCGCATGTTGAGAAGGAAATGATTTTCTGCCAAAGGAAGACAGTCAAATTACGCCTTCTGTTTCAGATACACTGCTAATTATCATCTCAAGAACATTGGGTGGTTAAAATGTACAACTTAAAAGCCGCAAGGCAACAAGCAATAACTTTAATTTGTTTCATATTCTGAAAGCCCTGAGTGATAAACATGGCTAATCACCATTATATTAAAGAACTGTAGTGATGCACTTTCCAATATAAAATTCTGGCTTTTCAAGGGCTCACTTAGTTACACCACTAGAATGATGGTTGTAAGTAGAAATGGACTAGAAAACATAATTGTTCTTTGGTATTATAATTGTATCAGTTTAGGGTAAAAGTTCATAAAACCTAGGATTTTAAAGCTTTTAAGCTTTTTTTATGCTCCTAAATATATGGTTTCAATTACATAAAACCTTAAAAGACAAAATTATTTTCTCACAGAAGTGGGTCTAAACATGTTTTCTACACTCTAGAAAGCATAATAAGTCAAATTTTAACAAAATGGTTTTCTCTGTCTTTCACTTTAATTATCATTGTGAAAACCATGGAGCATCTTATTTACTAAATAATTTAATAGGCAAAGTGGGAGAGGTGGAACACAGGATAGTGGGAGAGACACCAAAAAGGACAGACAAAAAAAGAGAAAAGTTTTTTAATGGATAAAAGCATTGGAAAAAATAAAATTCAGTTATATTAATGTCCTCCTAATTATTTTGTACCCAGTGAGAGGACTACCACTCAACACAGACAAGATAACATAAAAGGACTGAAAAAGAATAGAGGACATAGGTCAAAATTACTGAATGGACCTTGAGAATTTGAATATGTAGATTAGATAATATCAAATGTACTTATTAATTTTTTTTGACTCATATCGGTCTTTGAGAACACATTCAGTGACAAATATAATTCTTATATCTATCATTTATTGCCTCTAACCCTCCTGTATTTCATTTCTTTTGAACTTTTAAAATATTATCTCTTATCATAACAAGTTTATTTTTTAATTTATTGACTGAAAAAGTATTTCATCAGAAGTTATATACATCTGGGTGTATTAAAAAAAGACACATGTAATCCCAGATGTCACTCCTCTTAAAATTCTCCCAAAAGGAAAATTCACATGATTTGTTCTTATAATACATATTATGGCAATGTAAATATCATAGATATTCAGTCTTCCACTTAAGTCAACAGAAATCACATATTGACTCTACTCAATGACTAACTACAAATATACTAAAATAAACCGAGTGTGGTAACCTAAAAGCATAATGAATGTAGGGTAATCACGAAGTATGAATGGAGTTTGGTGATATGAAGGTTAGTGGCAAGAATGTGAGGCTGAAATTTGGAGACAGAGAGACAGGTCTAGAACGAGCCACCAGTGGTTTCTATGGCATAATCGTAAAAAGAGATCACTGAGCTGAAAAGAAAAATAAAACCAAAAGCATTATGACTGAAAAAGATATGCCTAAGATGATACCCCAAACTATTAAAGAACAATGCAACCATTGACATAGAAAGTTTTAAAATCTCAGTTTCTAACCTGCCACTGTTGATAACTGTAAGGTCAGATCCGGAGCAAATATCTTCTACAATGTAGGAATTTTCTTTGCAAGACACATTCAGAGAGGTATAGTTTGGCTTGCACACAGTCAGAAAGTATGGTGCTTGGTATCCTGTGGACAGCTGTATGATATCTGTAATGAGGGCTGTAGAGCAAAGTCCAAATACATGAACACCTGTAAGGGAAAGGACAGAACTGTTACCAAGTCAGTGCTTAATACTGATGCTATGTCATCATCAACCATGTTTGTTACACGTTAATATGACAACCTTCCAACCTTTTGGAATCATTTTCTCTGAGTTATTTCGAGAACACAGTATAGAAAATTCCTAAATTTCTAAACAGATATTTAAGACCAATATAAGGGCAATGAATATCTCCAAAGTTGGGCATTGAAGTATTTTTGCCAGTTTGGTAAAAGAGGGCCAATTCTTAATATTATTAACCTTAGGCTATTTGTCAGACTCCTAGAACATGTCAAGGTGATCACCATGTGATTTGAGGAAATTAAATACAGGGAATGAAGCAAAATGCAAAATAATTTTAAATTGCTTTGCATGTTTGCGCTTCCAGGGCTCCGTCTCCCCCATAGTCTCTAACTCCAGCCACAGTCACCGGAATGCTACAGAACTGATTCTAACTCCCTACCAGCTGTAGTCATGCCTGGAATGCCAATTAAAACAGAGAAGAAGGCAGGCAGGCCCTCTGTGGAAACAATAATCACATTCTGGGGCTATGGCAACCTTCCTGCTTATTTGGAATTCAAAGATGATGTTCTTGTGTCTCCTTGTTCAAATTCTATCTTTCTTTGACTCCTTGGGGCCAGTCTTAAACCATGAACTCCCAAAACTCTGACGTGTGCTTTGCATTCAAACTCCATTCCAGCTTCAAGTCCCTAGCCTGCCCTTATCTTTGGGTGTCTAGCTCTGCTCAAATCACATGATCTGAACTCACCTGTTCCCTCTAACACTGCCTTCACACCCTGGGTTATGATTCATGGTTTGCTCATGGAAGTCACTGTGAAAGGCCCCCATTCATTCGTCAGTACACTCCCTCAGACCAAGGCCTCTGGCCTGCGTGTTACCCTGGTTTGCATTTTCCTTCTCTGCATATCATCAATAAACAGCCACTCTCCCAATTCCTTCTCCACCCACTCATCTAGAAGTCATGCCACAGGACCTTTATTTCTACATTTTAATTCTTAGCAGCATGCAGAGTCTTGGAGAAGTACAGTTATGTGGGGAAAACCATCCATTTTTACCTTAGGCGAATGAGCATCTCTGGACCCAAGGAAGATGGGCATGGCTGATTCTGGGGCACTGTTCTCTACGGTAGGATGTGCCATGCTCGCAGTCATGAGGCTTTGCAAAGAGGTTCCATGCCCCTTTTGTCGATAGCACCTTGCTACATTAGAGAATTTTTTCTCTGAGAACAGCTACATGTACTGAAGTTTTATTTCCTTGCCTCAGCTTATGACCCTGCTAAGGGGCCTCTACTTACCTTACCATCTTGACTTGCCTTGCCTAGTGGAGCAGAGTCTAGGACATGACTTGGATCAGATTTTTCCTCAGGTGGAAGAGAAGCTTGTATTTAATTATCTACCAGATACCAAATGAAATTGCCTATTCTTTTGAACTGAAAGTTTATGTATAAAAATGACTTTTTACTGGGTTATTGGGACTGAATGTAGAACATTCATGTGGGTGTGATGTACTGTGGCCTGACTTCTCAAAGCAGTTTAAAAAAAAAAGGCCTGTGACTCAAACAACATTAAGGTGGGCCTATGCTAATTAGAAAAGATGATCTGGTTCAAATGCTGTGTTGCCTGGCATGTGGATTTTCTGTACATCTCATAACAAAATAGGAGGTAAAGTTAGGAGATAGAACCAGGACAGATAGCCATGATTCAGTGTTGTATGGTGACATTTCCAAGTGAAGTAACTTCTGGATCAAAACACTCCAAAATAATTGAAATGGAATCACTGATGTGGCTAAAGTAATTTCTGAAGGGTGATCCATTTGTACTGGCCTGTTGACACTTATTCTCCACTTTAAAAATGAACACAGATCTAGTGAAACCATTTGAAAGTAAATTCGTGCTTCAACTAGAGCTAAGGCAAAAAGGTACTGAAGTGTGTTGCATATTAGCTCTCAAAACAAGGACTGTAACTGTAACACATTTCAGACACAAAGCCCAAATTTTAGTGTTTGAACCGTTTTTTGTATGATGCGAAACTTGTCATGTACCCCAAATTATACATCTAATTGTGACTTTAAACCCTTAATATCTGTAATTAAACAGAACATTGCTATTTAGAAAAAAACATTTCCTTTCTTTGCAGTTCCCCACACCCACCAATAAATCTGACGGCTCTTCTAAGGAAAGAGTTGAAGTTGCAGCCTCCAGCATTGATGTTGGGCTCCAGTCCAACCCCGTTTCTTCTTTTGGACAGACAACAGTAGAGAATTCCTTCCCCTACCATAATCTGCAAAGACAGGAGGATGTTCAGAATGAACTCAATGGGTCCTAATGAATTATAAATTATCTGTTAACACATCATCAACTCAACAATGTAAAGATGTGTTTTTCTTAAAGCTTTAGAGATGAAAATAATTTCTCTTGAGTAGTGGAGGGAGCAGTGAGAAGGAAGCAATCAAGGCACTGTAAAGAGTAGCCACAGAAGAGCTGGATCTGTGCTCCTACGTACTGGTCATGGGTAGGAGAGTGTCCCGGCATTTTCATGTGGCTGCAGCACCCAGACTTTGGCCCTCTGCCCAACAACACCCATGGACGATGCTTAACTGATCAATCACATGGTGACTGATTCTGCCCTTACTCTTAGGGTTTTGGCATTTCATCCCTAAATCATGAAAACAAGACGACTGGGGGGAGAATAAGTACCAGAATTAGGATTAGAAACATATTACTGGCAGATTATTTCAGTAAACCAGTTTAGAATGGAGCAGAAGATCAACCCATGAAGAGCACCCATGAGGTTGGAAAGGTGCAATGGAACACAGAGCCACCCAATAAAAATGTATGAAAATTTTCATGGGGAAGGAAATACTTTCTGTGCTGTCCAGCATGGTAGCCACTCCCGACATGTAGCTACTGATCACTTGAAATGTAGCTGCTGCAACCGAGAAGCTGAATTTTTAATTTTATTTCTGTGTATTTAATTCATTATTGAAAATTTAAATCAATTTAGATTTAAAATGAAATAGCCACGTGGCCAGCTGCTATCTAATTGGAGAGCACATATTACAAGAGAATTTAGGTAAGCAGGGTAATGCTTCCTAGGAATAAGATATTTAGAAAATGTGTTTACATGTACAGAGAACCATACTGTGGTACCAGAGGGATTATCTTAAAATAAGGAAATGTACTTGCTGTAGGATTCTAGGGCATAGGATATTGGTGATGGGACTCAATGTAGGTTAGGCATCATTTCCTTTGGGAAGTTTTCTTTGAAACCCCTTACTTCACCTTGATTAAAGTGCACTTCAATTATTCATTTGATTGCCTCTCACTAAACTAGGACCCTCTGAAGGAAGAGTCATTCCCCATTTATCTTTTATCTTCACCATCTATCACAGTGCCTGACACTGTGGGATTTGCATTTGTTACCTTCACTGTGGGATTCTTGTTGGTTAATTACCCCAGGTGTTAGGATTGTTAGTTACTCTGTATAACAGAAGCAAGATTTGAAATTATGTATTTTATTTATGCAAAAATTTCAGATATTAGAGAGTATTGTGCCTAAGAGATTATTATGAAATTAGATATTGATTTGTAAATATGTGTGGAGATAAGAAAAGTAGAGTTACATGAGATATTGGCAGTTTCTTAGATACAAACCATCATGTCATTTTAAGATTGCAATCATGATTAGGGGCTCAAACAGATTTTTCAGGCAAAACTCCCCAGTGCTCATTACCAGTTTAACATTCCTTTTAAAGGGTATTTAAAATTATAGTTTTTTTAAAACTAATGACAATAAGCTTACTGCTTTCTGCTTGAATATTCAATTTGCTGTATTTTTATCTGTTGTCAACATGGTGTGTGTACAATTAAAAGAATGTTAATTTGCATAAAAAACAAATTTTTAATGGATTTCTAACAATAAATAACAAACCACAAATGTGTAAAAATGATGTGGCATGCATGATAAACTTCTTTAATATCAATCACATAGGAATAATCAAAAGGAGTTTTTTTCAAATCATTGAACATTGAGTTATTTATATTTCTTGAAAAATATCACCCTACATTACTACTTTAAGTAGAACATGGAAACACAATAGGTTCTGTATTCTGCATCCATAGATATGACATAATACGCTGGGCACACAGGATAATATAATAGTTATTTTAAATTCATCTTCAAGAAAATTAACCCCTTGTTCCTGAAATGCATTGCTGTATGGCTAAAAAAGACTGATTCTATTTTCATTTCTTTAATAATTCTGTGAATAATTTTGTTATTCTCTTTTCATTCATATATGTAATGATTCACATCTTGCCCATGAATGCTAACTTATATATGAATTTGTTTGTACAGTGCCATTAGGGAAATGTGTCTTATCATACAGCACAATAGTCATTACCCCAAATGACACTGAGATTTCAGGAGTTTTATTTTAGTTGTTTAATATGCTCAAAACTCGTATGTCAAGGGAATGCTTTAATATCACTTAGCTCGATTATGGATAGAGGTTTCTTGTCAGGATTTTGACACCACCCAACTGTCTCTCTCTCTCTCTAAGGAGACCATCAATTTTCTCCTCACAATTCTATTCCTTTAACCTTGATCTAAATATCATTGCATGAATTTTCAAAGTGATTCAATTTTGTTTAAAGATAGATTTCTCCTCAGGGGAGGAGGAGATGGTTCCTGATCTATTTCCAAATGTGGCTGCTCCTTTCCTCATTCTGAATGGCATTCTGCAATAAGGTTTTGGAGTGTAGGCTTTGACAATAAAATTATTTGCTGCTGTTGTCATTTGTAAATAGAAAATAGTTTATGACAACTGTCTTTTTACAATGTTCTGTTTATGCTGTACACAAGCCTGAAAAGAAACAATATAATTTTTTGCATGTCAAAAATCATGGACAGATTTTGGAAGTGCTTCTGAAGAGACTCTGTTTCAGGGCAGATGGAAGGAGGAAATATATCACTTATTATTATATGGGCAGTGGCCGTGGGATAACTACTATAAGGAGAATACATAATCCAAAAAGTTTTTCTTATAAAAACAATAAAACAAAGCAACAACAAAAAAAGTGTAATATTGATCATATTATCTTCAGTGTTTAAATTTGCAGTGAATGGCTTTTGGAAAGCCTAACATGTTTAATATTCTACAGTTTGATTGTATGGTCTCCTAAAGCTAAGGTAACTTCTAAGAATTATAATCAAATTCCAATAGAATTCTCCTACAAAATTAGATATATTTTTCTTTAATAATATGTAATAGAATTTTACTTCCAGGGAGTGAAAGTATACATTATATCCTATTCATATAGGTTTCATGAAGATTTATGATAAACCTAGATATTCTGTGTTTTCCCTGAGAAATAATCTCCAAAGGACTAAACAAAATGCTTGTTTCATTATCACATGACAGTAAATGAAAATTTAATATTAAGGAAGAGACTTCCCAGTTTAAGAGCAATTTCAGAGAATAAGAAAATGTATTTTACAGATATGAAAGGAATTTTTAATTTCCTATACAACATCATGGAGAACAAGTTATTTTTAAAACATCTATCTCTCAAAGCATCAAAAAATCTGAAAAGCAAATATTAAATGATCCATATTTAAATGTCTGTATAAAAAGATCAGTTGATATTCCTTTTGTTTATATAAAGGTCCTTTTAAAGAATATTGCTATTTGCAACAAGATGGATGGAGCTAGGGGGTATTATGCTCAGTGAAATAAGCCAGGCAGACAAAGACAAGTACCATATGATTTCACTTATTTGTGGAATATAAAAACAAAGCAAGGGAGCCAAGATGGTGGTGTGAGTAGGACAGCAGAAATCTCCTCCCAAAACCATATATATTTTTGAAAATACAACAAATACATCTATTCCTAAAAGAGAGACCAGTGGATACAGTACAACAGCCAGGCTACATCTACATCTGTGAGCACTCAGTATCTCACGAAGTGGGTAAGATACAAGCCGCAGCCCGGCAGGACCTGAGCGCTCCCCCCACCTCAGCTCCCCAGAGGGAGGAAAGGAGTCAGAGCGGGGAGGAAGTGGGAGCCCAGGACTGCTAAATACCCAGCCCTAGTCATCCACACTGGGAGTGCAGATACACAGTGCATGGTGTGCTAGATATTATGGAAACAGAAAAGTAAAATCTGTGAGCAGGTCCCCACAGCTGGTGCTCCTGGGACAAAAGAAAAGTGAGTGCTTTTTTGAAAGTCTTAAAAGGACAGGGGCCTCACAGCTGGACGGAAGCATCCCAGCACACTCAACCCAGCAGGCTGGGAATTCTGAGGAACTTTGGGTGCCCCAGGCCTGCAGGAGCTAATGCACCCCTGAAGCCCCTCATGGTGATAGGCAGCCTTCCAGTCATTCCCCCAGCTGGTGCAGCCACAACAAAGCGGTGGAGCAGCCAGAGAGCAGCTGTGCGCACCCCTGCATAGGCAGGGCAGCCGAAGAGCAGCCATGCTCGCCTGCATAGGCAAGGCAGCTGGAGAGCAGCTGCGCACACAGCGACTGCCCAGAATATTCTCCCAGCTTGCAGCCACCCAGGCCAGACTCAGAGGCCACTGCCGGCAAGCTGCTGCCTGGCGCAGGCAGAGGAAACCGTGGCAAGGCACGAAGGGGC